TTGAATCCATCCAACGCAGGATCATGCGAATAATTTTCCCTGATACTAGTTACCAAGAAGCCTTAGATCTTGCTGGCATCCCTCGGCTATGTGTGAGACTGGAAGACCTATGTGACATATTTTTTCTCCAACATCATGAAGGAAAACCATAAACTACATGACCTTTTACCACCTACTTACCAAACCTATTATAACACTAGGTCCCAGGCCTCTGGAATACAATTCCAGTTGCCAATGTTCATATAAAACTAATAGATCTCGAAACAATTTTATTGTCAAATCTGCTGTGAAATGGAACAATACGATTAGGAAGAATATAGGGAATGTATAGCCCTACATATTTTTAAAATGATGACTTTTTAAAATTTAGTATAAATAATTCAGTATATACAGTATTCTTAGTTTTGATGTTTGTAGTTGTTCCCCCTTTTACCTTTCTAACGCAACATTGTAATGGGTAAATTTAATTTAGTCTTTGACTACGATTTGCTCAAATTAAAGCTATTATTATTATTATTATTATTATTAGAGCAAAATTCACACTTTTGTTTTGAAAAGAGTTAAAACACAACGTTCGTTCGTACTTTGAAGTCACACAAGTTTTAGTTTACATACATACGAAGAACGTAACCCCCGGAAATACAGTAAAACCCCAGGGGCACCTTAAGCCAGGTTTCATATGTCGCCGATGGTCGGCGATGCACTCATAGATCATTGTTTATAGTGATCATTATCCATTGAAGGGGAAAAACTATTTCATGTAGGCAAAGGATTTTACTCATCAATGATCAAAGACAATGGTACTGAAAGACCATCCCAAAGAATGAGTATCAAGCCATTTCCAAACAAATTCAGTATCTTTTCCAGCGAAATCTGCTATGTTATAGTCTGCCAATCACCATGATGAAAAACGTCAAAGTCCCCACCCCCAGGCTAAGAAATTTTGGCAATAGCGCCACCACTGGGATTTAGGAAAAGCTGCAAAGGCACGGGGGGGGGGATAGGCACTGCTGGAATTGAGTTGACTTCAATACATAAAGAAATATCCTCATGTATGTAGTTTAGAATAAATAACTGTGTTCATTATACAATTACCTTTTATAAACAATCTTCAGATCTTTGTACTCTAGGAAGCTGCACATTTTCGGTTTTCTGGTCAGTACAATGGATATAAGTTCTCTTGTGATTTTCTTTTTATCTTTTTGTGTCATGGCAGTGTACCATCTCTGAAGTCGCAGTTTGCCTTGACGGCTGAATAGCAGTATATACTGAAACTAAATAATAACAAGAAAATACAAGCGCTGGTATATTTGAATACGAACAGATATTATTTACGTATAATTCAAGCAAAAAAAACGACAAAAACTCTTACCATTTTACAAAATATTCTCTCAGGTTTTAGAACAATCTTAAATTTGAATTGAGCCCGTAAACTAATGTAGTCTGCGGTAGTACCTAATTACTTCGTATAAGCAAAAATAAGCAAATCATACGCGGCCCACGCGCGTTCATCTTCAAATTAGACAGATTTAGATCGACGTCGGCGGACGTCAAAGACGACGTGAAAATGGCGTGTTGTGCCTCTTCCATCACCAACATTGCCATACACGAGGTGGTCCACGCTCCTTGCAGAGTGCAGACGATACTGATCGATACTGGCAGGCCGGCAACTCAAACACCATGGAATTGGTGGAAATCAATTTTCTTGACTGAAATTTGCCTTCAGCTGATGGTCTCTCCATTTTTATGATGTATATACAGCGTATATCACCACTCTAACTTGGAGTATGGGATTTTGTGACTTTTGACGGATGGGTTTTAGGGGTTTTATATTGTGTGGATAGATAGATAGAAAACTTTTTTTATAAACGCTGACCTCGTCAACCGTAGACTGCGAACAGGCATTTATATTTGAGGTGGACGTGGACCTCATACGAAGCCCACCTCAATAAATGCCTGTTTGCAGGCTATGTCAACCGAAGCTGATTTCCAAGGTATACAAATCTCGATTTTTATGCACTAGTCAATTGAAACCATGCCCCCCCCCCCGGGACAGGGCGGGGAAATTAACATTTTGACAATGTTAAATTTTGGTAATTTCCTCCTACCGGTGGAATATTGACTGTTAAAGTTACCGTTCTTATGCCCCCCCCCCAGCCCCACCAAGATTTCCGCCACTGGTACCTATATCAGAAATACCATAGATTTCCTGGAAAAGATTTATCTCAGCCCGACATTGAATCACAGTGGTTTTTTATAAAAGTCATAAAACCCAAAAGATTTCCAAGAGAAATTAATGCAATTGTAATAGCCTCTGTCTACCACCCTCCACAAAATAACGACCTTACACTAAGGGGTGACTAAGGAACCATCTATTTGAATCCCTGGACAACGCTCTCACCAATTTTCCTAACGCATGCATCATCTTGTTAGGGGACTTTAACCAGTTTAACCTGGATCATTAACTTCATCCTTCAATCTTAAACAAGTTGTGAAAAGACCCACTCGTGGTAAGAATATCCTTGATAAGATTTACACCACCCTTTCGAAGCATTACATTGATGCCATTATACTCCCATGCATTGGACAATCTAATCACCAAAGTGTTCTTCAAAACCCGACTAAATAAAGTCCGAAGTCACACAAGTCTCACACCTCTTCCTACATTACTAAGAGAGACTGTCGACCCGCAAACAAATAAGCCCTAATCACCACCCTATCCCAAATCAACTGGACCCCACTTTACCACGTAACTGCTCTTTTTTTATTATTATTATTATAAAGCTTTATTTGCAAAACCTAATTAGAGGTATTGCTAAGGGTAGATTATTATATATATAAAATGTCAGTAATGTCGAAGCTATAACTATTAAAATATATAGGAAGAAGCTATTTACAAATAGAAAAACAGTGTATAATTTAAAGATACAATTTTTTTTTGTTTATTTTGTTTTATTAATTATCTAAGGGATTTTTAGTCTAATTGTTATCCCTAATCTTCCATGGATTAGAGGCTTTTATCTCTCTCCAAAAAACAGTGAAAGATATACTTAGAAAGCAGGTTAACAAGAACTGGATCGTCTGAAGACATCGCATGCTCAAACAGTTTTTGTTTTCCTTCCATTGTGTCATTGATATAAAATAGGTTTTTGAGAATGTTGTTAGAATTATTTCTTAATTCTTCGTATTTCGGGCAAGATAAGGCTAAGTGATATTCGTTTTCCACTTCACCGGTGTTGCAAAGTTTGCAGAAACGTTGTTCACGAGAAACATTAGCAATTTATGATTACTTACTCTATATTGAGAAAAAGTTCTTCTTATCGTTGGGTTATCAATAAGGGATAAATATTCTTCCATTTTGTACTCGTTTTTAAATGTACAAAAGAAAGATAGTTTGGAGGAGTTAATCATTTTATGTTGACAAAATTCAAAATATTTATCTTTCATCTTATTTTAATACAATGGTTTTTGTATCGTAGTTGATTATATCATAGAATGATTTTAGCATGTTTATTGCGTTGGTATAGAAAGATTCTTTGCCTTTTTCAAATAGTTGTTTAGACATTAGGAAGGATTGTTTCAGGGCCTTTTTTAACATACAAGCTGGGGGGCAAATGCTCCCAGTCCCCCCTTGTGCCCTCTCCCACAAAATCACATCCCCCCCAGGAAAAGTCGCTTTTCCCTAAAATTATAGAAACAAACCAGCGAAGATTAACGAATACATAAACGGAAAATAAGTTTTAGGCTTTATCCTTTGTGCTTGTTTAACAAAATTGATTTAAATTGTTACTTTTTTCTACCACTAAGTTATGATAAATTATTGTTAATAATTTTTTTATTTTTTGGATGCTCAGAATGCAGGAAATGGCATTTCCGTGCTTCAAATTTCAAAAATTTTCTGGGGGAGTACACCCGCACACACCTGACTATTGCTATCCTCCTCTAATAAGTAATGATAAATGATGGTTAATTTTTTAAACTTTTTGTGCGTTTTTTCCTTTATTTATTTCAAATACAAGTATAGTTAGCATAAATTTTGGAGCAAATTTGGATGCTCAGAATGCAGGAAATGACATTTCTGGGATTCGAATTTCAAAAATTTTCTGGGGGAGTACTCCCCTAGACC